TGACATTGTAACACGTATCAACCCTTGATTGGGTAGTGTGATAATATAAAAAAGACGCCCCGCGCGAAAGGACGAACACAGAGAGGAAAGACGGAGAGAGGAACTGCGCTCTCTTTGGGCGCGCCACTCAGGAGAACGATTAAAGCTTTCCGCTGCACAAATCGTGTTGAGTGCTTTCCTGCTGGACGGGAGGGCGCCCGACACGTCACCCCGCAGACAGCGTGTATCAATCAACCCTAAGAGGTAGCAAGCCGGACCACCCCAAGCTGAGGAGGGAGGCCCAGAGAAGTGGAGACACGGGTCTTGAGTTGGCACAGCAGGGAGAGGTGAAACTGGCAGTCAAACCTACGGAGCACGTGGCACCCTGGGGACTTTGTACATTTAACAGGTAATTACTGGGTGCCACCCGTGTATCAGGCACTGGTGTAGGCAGTGGTTTCGGTATTCTATTTAGTTTTTGGTGTTGGGGATGGAACCCAGGACTTTTACACTGAGCTATATCCTCAAACCTTTAAAAATAAATTATCTTGGGCTGGAGAGATGGCTCAGTGGTCTAAAGCACCTCCTTGGAACAAGCTTGGCAAAGCACAAGGACCGCAGTTCAATCCCCCAGCACCACATGCCAGCCAGCCCCGCCCCCTGGTGGGCTGAGCTGGCCACACACACACTAAATAAATGTAATAAATAAATAAACAGCGGAATATATTTTAAAAAAATAACATCTTTTTTTATTTTTGACACAGTTTTATTGTGTATTCCAGGCTGGCCTGAACTCGCAGCCATCCTCCTGCCTCAGCCGATCAGGGTCCTGGCATTCCAGGCATGCACTGACACAACCAGCAAGAAGTTTACCAGTGACCTCTTTGGTGTAGCTGCGGTCCACAGAGCACACCCCAGCTGCTGGCCACAAGGACCACAGCCACCAGCAGTGGAAGAGTTTATCTGTGGCCAGTGGAGACGGCGGGTTTCATGTCAGTCACTTGCAGAAGGCAGCACCACCGAGGGTCATCTGAGGCTGTGGAAGGGTGGCCACTTCACAGCAGACACAGGCCACCCCGAGAGGCAAACAAGGCCGGCCTCCGGCCCTGGGCACGCGCCTCGGCCGGCCGGGACAGCCTGAGCCATGGGGAGTGGGCTTCCCGAGGACTCAGCAAACGCTGAACACCGAGGGGGCCTGGCCTTGGTATTTCTCCTGCTCCGATTTTAGGATAGGGATGAGGTTCTGGAAGGTGGGCCGGAACGAGGCCTCAGTCTCCCAGCAGTTCTTCATGAGGAGATAGACCTGGCGGAGCAGAAGCAGGCTGCAATTGCTGCTTTCTGCCAGCTCGATGACGAGAACTGGGACAGGGCGGGGGGGGGGACACCTTACCTCCAGGGGACACCTGTCTGGCCGCGGCAGCCTCTCCCCTCGCTCCAGCAACTCTGTGAGCCGCAGCACAGTCATCTGGCCCTGGGTGACGCCTATGAGCTCCATGAATTTCTATGGGACAATCCAGAAGAGCCTTTTTCCAGACGCAGCACAGACCCAGCAGAGTCCAAGAGCTTGGAACTCCGAGGTCGTATGTTCTAATCCCACAGAAACACTTCAGCTATATGCCTTTGGATTTCTCACCATGCCTCTCTGGGCCTGAGTTTTCACATTCTGAAATAGGATGCTAATCTAACCACATCTACCACTTGGGGTTGGGGCACTGTTACAAAAATTAACATTTGTAGAGTGATCCTCAATCACATGCTTGCTGTTGTTAATAAGCCTCCGGAAGTGGGTTTTACTTGTCTGAAAAGTAAAATTAAACTTTACAGGGGGGCCATCTTTTTTTGTGGGTGTATTTAGTACAGGGTCTACAGGGTCTCGTTACATAGATCGGAGAATATTTTTGGCTAGTTCAGGTTGCCTTAAGGGCGTGTCTGGTGCGGCTTGTGGAGAAGGGGATCAAACACCTGACTGCATTTGCCAAAGTGGTGCTTTGAACAACTGAGCTATCTTGCAAGCCCCCATAGATAGGATTCGTGATCCTCCAGTTTTCAGTTTCCCAAGCGCTGGGATTACAGGTGCACGTCACCACGCCCAGTCTCAATCCCTGTCTCAGTGTGTCCCAGGGGCTGGGACAGCACAAGATTGAACGCACAAGAGGCCAGCTCCTGCCTCTGCCTAAGCAGGCACTTTAATCTGCTGAGTTATCTGACCAGTCCTGGGGGGTTCTTTTTGAGACAGGGTTTCATTGTGCAGTTCAGGCTGGCCTTGAGCTCACTTTGCAGCTGAAGCTGGCCTCAACATTGCAGTGATCCTCCTGCCTCAGCCTCTGGAGTACCTGGATTATAGGCATTAGAAGGTTGCCATGAAAGGCTCAGAAGGGCCAGCCAAATTGCTCAGCAGATTAAAGCACCTACAGGCAGGCACAGGGGCTGAGGGTTCAATCCTCAGGCCCACAATGCTAGCCCGCCTCTGGGGCGCTCTGAGATGGCAACTGAGGCTGGGCGTGGTGGCACCTATAATCCTAGCTCTTGGGAGGCTGTGAACAGGGGTCACTATGAGTCTAATCTAGTAGTGAGACCCTGATCACCCTGTAGACCCTTCCCTAAAATACAGGAAAAAAAAATCCTGTATTTTTGGGGTGGGGGAGATAGCTCAGTAGAATAAGCGCTTGACTGGCAAGCGCATGGGCAGGTTCAATCCCCAGTTCCACCAAAAAAAAAAAAAAAGCCCAGAAATTTTCTTTTTAAAGGCATCTTACCTAGCTCCTCCTCCAACCCAGGGCTGGCCAATTACTGAGCCCAATGGTTAAACAGTGATTGGCTTATCAAATATGCATGAACCAAGCTGGGCCAATGAGGGAAACTCTTGGGATTTGTGGGAGGGGAAAGGGATAAAGGAAGACCCTCAGCCCTCTCACTAGGTCAGCAATCACAAAGCCCTGTTGCAAGGTAGTGTGTTGGTGCCTGCCTGTCATCTCAGCACTTTGAGAGCTTGAGGTAGGACTGCAAGGCTGAGCCTGCCTGGTTTACTCAGCGAGGCTGTGTCTCAAAATAAACATTAAAAAGCGCTGCTACAAATGCCGCTCAACGTTCAGGTCCTAGGTTCAGTCCCCACCCCGCCTCCTACCCTGCAAGTGGCCCATCTTCTGGACCAGGACTGAGAACAGCATTGCTAGGGCGGAGCGCAGGACTTTCAGGACGTGCCTTTCTAACTCCCACGGGGAACTCCCGGGTAGGGCACCGCGGCTCTCACCGAGGGCGGGCTCTGCCTGGAGTCACAGTGCGTCAGCAGCTCATAGAGTGTGACTCCGAAGGACCACACGTCGGATGCATAGTAGAACTTACACTCCTTGAGGCACTCGGGGGCGTACCTGGGGAGGGAGAGGGGGCGCTCAGGCCTGGGGGCTGGACTTGGGGCAGGGGGATAGGCGAGGCTGGAACCTCATCCTGGACTGAAGGTCTCCTCTGCTCGCATTTGTGGGTTCCCATCTTTAAGGACATAGCCACAGAGGCTCCAGGGAGACAACTCAGTAGAATAAGCGCTTGCCTGGCAAGCGCAAGGGCCTGAGTTTAATCCCCGGTTCCATCAAAAACAAACAAACAAACAAACAAACAAACGCCTGGATTGAAGCCAAACCAAGATGGCCCACCCTCCGACTGACCCCACCCTCACGCTGGTCCCACCTCAAATCGAGGCCCCTTCCAGGTACCTCCGGAGCACCCAGCCATCCAGCTGCCCCCTCCTCCACCTTGCCTTTTCCTAGTGACACTGGGCCAGTCCCTCCACCCCGCCCCCCGCCCAGGCCGCGCCCCTCCTGGTCACCAGAACACGGGGCTGTCCCCGTCCTCGCGCACGCGGTAGTACTCGTGGCCTTCAGGCACGGCCTTGGCCAGGCCGAAGTCCCCGATCTTCACAAGCCTGTCGTTGTCCAGCAGCACGTTGCGCGCGGCCAGGTCTCGGTGAATGTAGCGCTGCCCGTGCAGGTAGGCCATGCCCTGGGGGCAGGGCAGGGTACCATCAGGGGGGGCGGGGTGCAGCCAACGGGGTGGCTGGATGGCTGGGCGACAGTCAGGTGAAGCCTGGAGACCCAGCCACCTGAGAAAGCAGGACAGCTGGTGGAGCCGCCAGGAAGGTACAGATAGCAGAGGCCGCTCCCACAGAGCTGCTTGGGCGGGGAATGCGCAGAACACAGGGGGCGAGGCTGGGCGCCGCCAAGGGGCAAGAGAGCTGGGGCGGGCCCGCGGGTGGAGCCAGGTGAATGGGATCTCCAGGCGGAGGCCCAAGAGCAGTGGTCCAAGAACCAGCGCAGCCAGCTCTGGAAGCAGGTGCAGCACGACGGCAGGCTTGGGGGAGCAGGGCCGGGCCCGCCCACCTCGCAGATCTGCTGGGCGAACAGCAGCAGCTGGGCAAGGCCGACGCTGTGCCGGGGCAGGTAGTCTCGGAGGCTGCCCAGCGGCACGTACTCCATGACGAGCTGCAAGGACTTCTCGCCTGTAAAGAGAGGGCCCAGGGCTGGTGAGATGGCTCAGTGGTCTAAAGCACCTACTTAGAATAAGCTTAGCAAAGCGCAGGGACCGCAGTTCGATCCCCCAGCACCACATGCCAGCCAGCCCCGCCCTCTGGTGGGCTGAGCTGGCCACACACACACACACACATAAATAAATAAAATTTAAAAAAAAAAGAGAGGGCCCAAGAGCAAGAGAGGGAGGAGCTTAAGGGACCCACCCAACCTGCAGGGCTTTCTCAGGTGGAGAAGGCAAGAGTTACGTCCCTTGCTGATCTCTGTCCTGTGGAAAGGAAGTGCCTTCAAGTCCACCTTAGTGCAAGTTCGCAGCCCAGGCACCTCAAAGCTGGGAACAAGTCTGTCTGGCCACACACCCCCAACAGGAGGGGGTGCTTAGAAGATCCTAATTGGTTGTACCAGTATGGTTCCGCCCATAAGTCACACCAGGCCTGACCAATCACTGTGGCCCATGGCCACGAAAAGTCACTTTTGCTCCTCTACTTAGCCCAGCCCTGGAGCACTAAGCCTGGCTGTCACCCACCTTGGTCCTCACAGCAGCCCTTGTACTTGATGATGTGGTCGTGGTACAGCGTGCGCAAGATGTCGATCTCCCGCCTCCAGCCCAAGTGGTGCTGGGGCCCGCAGCCTGCCTTGAGGGCTTTCACCGCCACCATCTCACCAGTGCCATCGTTGTTTGGGTCATAGCAGTACAGGCTGACCTTGCCAAAGTGACCCTGGCCAGAGAGGTCATGAGGGTCAATCCCACCCCTGTGCATCCCTGTGGGAAGACTTAAGCCCTCTGGCTGCATGCTGCAGCCCCTTACAGTTCCCCAGGGACTCCCCCAAGGCTGGGGATGCTCCCAGGCTTATCTCTTGGAGCTACCTCTAGGCAGAAATTTCCATAATCCACAACTCTGACCTACAATCCAGTCCGAAGTTCACAGGCCCCGTGATAGCCCCTCCAGGCCCTGCCCTCACCTCCCCTAGATCGCGGATCTTTTTCAAATAGCGCTTGTGGAAGACAGTGGGGTCTGACGCAGGCGAGTCGGGGTTCACAGTTGAGATGTCCACTAGACCTGGAGGAGCCAGCAGGCCCACAGTTGGGGGATCCCGAGGTGGGCATTACCCCCCCCCCCCCGTACCCCATTCCAGAGGTAAGGAAACAGCTGGAAAATTCTCCCTTCTGCCCAAAATACACAGCATGTGACATCAAAACTGACTCATGGGGCTTTGGCTGGCTCCATGGCTGAGCCCTTGCCCAGCCCAAGGGAGACCTCAGTGAGGTAGGGGGAGTGGGTGAATGGCTGGGGCAGTCTGAGACTGGGCGGAGTGTCGAATGGCCTCAGAGAGGACAGGAAACACTACACTGAATGGGCCAAAGAGAGTGAGCCTCGCCTCGCTTTCTTCTCCCTTCAGACAGAAACTGGCACCGGCTCTGCGCCGCGGCGCAGAGGCCTTGGGAACCACAAGCCTGTGCCATGGTGGCACGGAGCCCACCCCCACTCCTCCCCAGGGCCCGGGCAACAAGCAGGGCTCACTGTGGGGCTGCAGACGAGTGAGATCGCGCAGGATGGTGCGGAAGGACGGCCGCTGGGCCCGCTCATAGCTCAGGCACTGGCTGGTGACTGCAGCCAGCTCAGGGCACAAGGGCTCAGGCAGCTGGTGCTGCCTCTGGTAGAAGCGCTCTTTCTGGGGAGAGTAGGGAGCAGCCAGAATCAGCACCCCACCCCGACCCAACACTCTCCCCAGAGCAACAGGGCGGCCTGGCAAGAGGCCTGTACTCCTCGTTCCCATTTTCCAGAGAAAGAAACTAAGGCTCACAGCCAGAACTCAGCTGACAGTCCCACTCACTCCACCCAGCAGAAGCACCTGAGGATCACCTTTCCTGCCTAATAGCATGAAAGCCCCAGGGCCTTTGCTGAGGCTCTTCCCTCTGCCTGTCTGTCCTGCCTAGCCCACCTCACCCCCCTCATTTTGAACTTAGATAAAATCTCCTCTGAGGGCCAGGGATATAGCTTAGCAGCATTAAGAATCTGCCTGGTGGGGCCGGGGAGATGGCTCAGTGGAATAAGTGCTTCCCTGGCAAGCGCAAGGGTCTGAGTTCAATCCCCGGTTCTGAAAAAAAAAAAAAAAAAAAAAAAGAATCTGCCTGGTTAAGTACAAGATCCTGAGTTTGATCCCCAGTACCAAAAAGGAGCCTTCCTCTGGAGACCAGCTGTGGTGGCTCATGCCTGTCATCCCAGCACTCAGGAGGCTGAGGCAGGAGGATCCCTGCAAGCTCAAGGCCAGACTGGGCTCTACAGTGACTTGAAGGCCAACCTGAACCACATAGTGAGACCCTGTCTCAAAAACTAAATAAGGGCTGGCCAGATAGCTCAGTGGACTAAAGTACCTGCTTAGGCAATGCGTAGTGACCAGGGGTTTGATCCCTGGCATGCTGTGCTGGCCCCGCCCCCAGGGCACACTGAGACTGAGATTGAGATTGGGTGTGGTGGCACACCTGTAATCCCAGCACTTGGGAGGCTGAAAACCAGAGCATCACTATGAGTCCGATCTACGTAGTGAGACCCTGGAGACCCTGTACTAAATACATTAATAAATAAATAAATAAAAATAAAACCACAACTCCTCTGAGCAGCCTCATCCAGCTGTTCAGTTGGGGTCACAAGACAGTCCCTCCCCTTCTCTGTGCTAGTCACTGCCAGGCTTCCTCAAGAGGTTAGGGTTAGAAGATCCCCAAGTGAGTACCTCAGAGGAGGTGCGGCCCTGCAGGGGCACCTCGCCATCGAAGCAGATCTCCAGCAAGGTGGCGCCAAAGCCCCACTTGTCCGCGGCTGTGCTCAGGCCGCCGGCCCCAGCAAGCAGGCCCTCAGGTGCCGTCCAGGGGATGCGCTCCACACGCTCTGGGGGCCAGGTCACAATCACCCAGGGTGGCAGAGGGCGGTGGCCCTGTGCCCAGCCCCGCTTGCATGGAGGGCCACTCACCTTCCCTGGAGAGGGCGCCCAGCCCCACACCTGGGTCGCTGAGCTTGATGAATGGGCTGGTGCCATCTGCCAGCCCCAGCCGGGCCAAGAGGATGTTCCGGCCGCACACGTTCCCATGCACCAGGTTCTTGTCCTCCTGGGGTAGGATGAGAAGAAGTGGGGCACTGAGGAGGGGCACAGCCTGGACCTCCAACCCCATCCCTGTGGCCCCAATGGGAAAGATAATCTTGGCCATCAGTGAGATGCCGCCACACTGTCATGTGACCAGGCAGCAGCCGGGTGGGTCTTTCTTATTCTCCCAGAGTCTCCACGCCAGAGGAGCCTGCTGCTGCCCCAGGGCCTTCGCACGTGCTGCTCCTGCCTGAAATGTTTCTCCCAAACACCTCACGGTACCCAGCCACTCCTCCTTCAGAGCGTTTTATTTTTTTTTTTAAATATTTATTTATTTATTTTGTGTGTGGCCAGCTCAGCCCACCAGGGGGCGGGCAGGCTGGCATGTGGTGCTGGGGGATTGAACCGAGGTCCCTGTGCTTTGCTTGGCTTAGCTTGTTCTAAGTAGGTGCTTTAGACCACTGAGCCATCTCACCAGCCCCCTTCAGAGCGTTTTAGCAAGGGTTTGTGAACTGCCTATTACCATTTCGCCTCTTTTTTCTTTTCTTTACGCTTTGTTTTTCAAGACAGGGTCTCAGGGCTTGGGGATGGCTCAGTGGAATAAGCGCTTCCCTGGGAAGCACAAGGGCCTGACATCCCCGGTTCCGCCAAAAAATAAAAGACAAGGTCTCACTATGTAGGCTGGCCTTGAACTCACTATGCACCCCAGGCTAGGCTAGCCTTGAACTTGCGGTGATCCTCCTGCCTCAGCCTCCTGAATGCCAGGATTATAGGAGGGCATCACCAGAAATGACTTAAAGCCTACAGGAGGATGCACTGAGCTTCTAGGCAAACTGGACAGCACTTTACCCAAGGAACCGAGCATCCTTGAGTTTGGTACCTTCCCTCTGGGCCCTAGACCAAACCCCTGAGAGACCACGTATGATCTTATCTCTCCCAACCAAAATGCAATCCCTGAGCACAGGGATTTAACAGTTTTGACTGCTAGAGAGTCCCTAGGGTCTAGGACAGGGCCTAGCAGTGAGTATACAGTGAACAGTAAATACAGGAAGGGAGTGACAGGACAGGGAGGGACCAGAACTGTAGCAGAGGGGCTCAAGGGGACAAGACAGGCTCATGGCCAGCTGTCCTGGGCAGGCACAGGGGCTGAGGATGTGCAGTAGCCCCTTACTCCCACCACCCCCAGGCCACCTGACCCACGTACCAGGTAGCTGAGGGCGCTGGCCAGCTGCTGGGCCACCACCAGCTTCCAGGCCAAGGGCACTCGGCCTCGCTCCCGCCGCAGCCACATGTCTAAGGGCCCATGCTCCACGAACTCCGTCACCATGATGTCTGCAAAGACCCAGCGTTGCAGGGGCCACCTCCCCCGCCAGGCGGCCCAGCCCAGGACCTGGGGCTGGGGCTAGGGACAGTGTCCTGGCAGACAGGCTGTGGGAGTGAGTCTGAGGACAGGGGACAGAGGCAGAAAAGGCCAGGGACACTGGCTGCAGGAGGGGGGCATGGAAGAGGCTGACAAAGGTGACCTCCGTGACAAGGCGAACACAGGAAGTGGAGGAGGGTGTGGTGGACGACAGGCCTGAAGCCAGATGTTGGGTGCAAGTGGGGTCGGGACACAGAGCAGGGGAGAGGACAGGGGAGGCAGGGTGGGTGTGGCCATTGTCCTGTGGGGACAGCAAGACCACAGGTCATGCACTTGGGGCCCTGGCACAGGGGCTGGGTCACCCTTTATATGTGTACCATTTTGTTTTTCTTTTTTGGAAATACTGAGGATGGAAGGGCCCTGACACTAAGCTGCATCCCCAGCCCCTTTTTATTTTTTATTTTGAGACAGGGTCTCTCTAAATCACTAAGTTGCCCAGGGTGGGCTTGAACTTGTATGATCCTCCTGCCTCAGCCTCCCAGAGTGCTGGGACTACACATGTGTACCACCACACCTGGTATATGGGGCTCTAAGGTACATACAGAGGAGGGACAGGGTGGCATTAGGCTAAGAAACTGAGGTCTGAGGGTACCAGCCAGATAGCTCAGCAGACTAAAGCGCCTGCTTAGGCAGATGCAGGGGTCGGAGGTTCGATCCCCAGCCTGCCATGCTGTGCCATGCTGGCCTTGCCCCCAGGGTGCACTGAGACAGCAATTGAAACTGGGCATGGTGGCACGCGACTGTAATCCCAGTGCTTGGGAAGCTGAAAACAGGAGAATCACCACAAGCCCGATCTGTGCAGTGAGACCTTGTACTAAATACAAAAAAAGAAGAAGCTGAAGTCCAGGAGGATTGGGGGACATGGGGATGGGATCTGCTGGGCCACAGCACCGCTGGTCAGAGGAGGGCCACGGGGTTGGGGTCAAGAAGAGTCAGGTGAGAGATGGATACGGCTGGAAAGAGGGAGCAGAATGAGGTCCGGGTGCAGCTGAGGGTCTGCGAGTAAGTGGGGGGCAAGCATCTGTTTGGGGGGACAGAGTGAAGGTCCATGTACACCCTCGTAACCCCTGCAGTCTGGGAAGCTGAGATAGGAAGACTGCAAGTTTGAGCCCAGCTTGGGTAGCTTAGCCACTCAGCCAGGAGGAGCCAGCAACTGGCTCGGCCTTGGAGTCAGGGGTCTGGGTGCAGCCCAGGGAGCAGGTCAAGTGGGGTCCTGGGTACTCACTCTCAGAGCCGCGCACGCAGACACCATGCATGAAGGCCAGGTGTACGTGGGACACCTGGCTCATGAGGCTGGCTGTCTCATAGAAGGCCTGTGGGGACAGCAGTTCAGCCAGCTGTGTCCTCCCCCACCATGCCGATCAAGCCCCTGCCCTCCCATACGCACCAGTGTGATGTCATGGTGGCCTGGGTCCAGCACCTTCAGCACCACGTGCAGCTCCTGCCCACGGTTCCCATTGCACTCCCCAGGGTCCACGCCATCCTCTTTGTCCTCCTCGGGTGCCTCCACTCGCAGATAACCCTCATACACATTGGTCCTTGTGCCCTGGCCCAGGTGTGACAACTGCGGGAAATGGCACAGAACCTGACTGAGTAATACCAGGTGTGGTGGCACACAGCTACAATCCCACACTCAGGAGGCTGAGTAGGAGGATCACTGTGAATTGAGGCCAGCCTGTGCTCCATAGTGAGTTTAAGACCAGCCAGAACTGCATAGCTGAAGCCCTGCCTCAAAAAGACAAAAAAAAAAAAAAAAAAAAAGTACAAGAGACCGTGATGCCTGATGGGCCCCAGCTACCATGGCCCCAGAAGTTCTTTCTTTTTTTTTTCTTTTTTTGGCGGAACTGGGGATTGAACTCAGGTCCTTGCGATAGCCAGGGAAGCATTTATTCCACTGAGCCATCTCCCCGGCCCCCCAGGAGTTCTTAAGTTCTATCCCCCGCTGCCCTGCCCCTACCTGGGTGATGTCACCCTGCTGGACCCTGTGGAAGGTGAGCTGGCTGAGGTTGAGCTGTGGGGTACTGGCCTGAGGTCCCCGCTTGATGATAAGGTTGGAGATCTCTGGGGACAGAAGCCAAGTGACTGAGTCGGCCGACCTAGGGGACACGGACGCTACCCCCAAGCTACAGCCTCGCCCCCTCATACCTCCTGGCCTTGGCAGGCAGCACTGGCGCAATGAGAAGCAGTCGTCCCCAGCCCGCAGGGAGCAGCCCTGCAGGGCGATCCGCAGGTCCCGCACGCTGGTGAAGGGGCGGTCCCAGCCCTCCAGCACGAAGCCCCCCGCCTGCCGCTTGATGGGGAACTTGCGCAGGCGCACCTTCCGTGCACTGCCGCCATGGCTGCTGCCAGGGGCCTGGGGGGCAGAAGGGACAGTGAGCTGGGCCCTGGGCAGGTCGTGACCCCAGCCCTGCTCAGCCCATGACCCCAGCCTCAGGCTCACCGGCTCTCGCTGGGCCACCGTGAGGATGAGGCGGTCCAGATGGCTGGTGCTCCATTGGACAAGGTAGAGCCCATCCTCCGGCTGCAGTTTGGTGCACACAAACGGCTCCCTGGGAGGTGATGGGCACCCTCAGGCCACCAGGGTCCACTGCCGCACACACCCGGCAAGGGTGACCCAAGACTGCCAGAGGCACACAAAACAGCTGGGAGAAGTCACCCCTGGGGACATCAGATACAGCAACCAACATGGTGACATACACAAGAAAATGGTCACCCATGCTGGATGGTCAAACACCCAGTCACAATGAGCACACGCAGAGGAATGTACACGGCCACTCCATCTCACACCCAAAGGACAGTGACCCCAGATACACCCAACAGGCCACAAGTGTGACACAGAGCTGTTCGTCAGTTTTTCGTTGCTAGGGATAGAGCCCAGAGCCTCTGTAGACTGCACAATGTCCCCCTCTTTTTGCATATTTATTCTGAGATAAGGTCTCACTAAGTTGCCCAGGCTGGGCTTGACCTTAACCCTCCTCCATCCCAAGTGCTGGGATGACAGGGGCGTGGCCACCCCAGCAAGGCCCACGAACCATGGAAAGGTTGGCAACCAGCTTGGCACTGTTGGAAAGCGACAGAAACTTGGAGATAATACGAATAACTGGTTGGAAGACAACACTATGTAGTACAACAAATACTGTGAAATTCAAGTTACTTTGTTAAGTGAAATTCTGTATCAACTGTAATTTTTTTTAACTAATTATTTTGCAGAACCAGGGACTGAACTCAGGCCCTTGGGCTTGCCAGGTAAGCACTTATTCTACTGAGTCATCTCCCTGGCCTTCAACTGTAATTTTTGTTTCTTAATTTGTACTCTTTGAAAAATAAAAAATTTAAAAAGCAACTCAAGAGACACAGAGCCTATGTGAGGTTTTTAGGCCACTGAGGTACAGCCGTGGAGGGGAGTTTTGCTTGGCCACACCCGTCCATCAATGTGCTATCTCCCCACATGCCCCAAGGCACAGGGCCACTGACAGTGAACCAAAATCTCCAAAACTGGTAGCTGAGTGTGGAGTCACAACTTGTCATCCCACACGTAGGAGGCTGAGGCAGGAAACTGCTGTGAATTTAAGGCCAGCCTGGGCTACATAGCAAGACTCTGTCTCAAAACAAACAAAAAACAAAAAAAAGCCACACACTCGCATGGCAGACAAGATTTCAGAGCCTTGGTCTCAGGCCTGTGGCAGTGGCCACCTGTCCCCTGCCCTTCCTGCCTTGGCCACTCACAGCAAGGGCCCATGGATGCCATCCTGGATGCTCAGGACCAGCCTCGGAGGAGCCACCTCATGGCACAGGTAGTGGCTGGAGTCGGCCGTCAGGCGGAAGTAGCCATCCACCAGCGCCACGAAGGACAGGGTAGAGGCCCGGGAGGGCAGGTTCATTTCCTGCAGGCAGGGGGGTGTCAGGCAGGCGTACAGGCCAGGAGCCCCCCCCCCCCCCACCAGGCTCAGCCCCCGGCAGCACCAGGCACTTGTTGTCCTGCCGGTGGACGCTGATGTGACTGTCCTTCAGGACCATGTGGGTGACGTCCCGGAAGTCGCAGAAGTAGGTCCAGGCTGGCTCCCGTGGCCTGCCTGCCAGCTGCTCACTGGCCTCCTCCTGGGCCCTGGCCTTTTTCCCAGGCACCCTGGCTTGCGGATTCCAGCTGCCACCACCATTGCCAATGGCACCCTAAAAAGCCAACAAAGCAGGCAGGGGACAGAGAGACAAGGTCTGGGTAATCTCCTCTGCTTTCTGAGGGCACAGACAGGAGTCAGAGGTGCCAGGGATTCACACTCAGGGGTCCCATTGTCAGGCAGCACCAGGACCCGTGCCTAAGAGAAACAGGTGCCACAGCTGGCTGTGGTGTAACCCTAGCACTCTGGAAGCCTGAGGCAGGAGGATCACAAACTCGAGCCTAGCCTGGGCAAATTAATGATTCAGCAAGACCCTGTTTCAAAATAAAACTTTCTAGAGGGCTGGGGATGTAGCTCAGTGGAAAGGTGGTGGGCTCTAGCTCCAGTACTATGAATGAAAGAATGAAGGAATGAAGGAATGAGATACAGATACCAGAAGCAAGAGCCTGAAGAGGCAGAGAGGAGGTTCTGAACCCGGCGCCCCCACAATGGTCACACCCCCGTGCTAGAAGCACGTATAAGGAGGAAGATGGACCCACATAGAGGCGGATGGGTAAAGGACTCCACCGGGCATCAGGAGTCCAGGCCAACGGTGGCAGCTCCCACCCCAGCCCCACCAGGACCCCCAGAGAAGGTGCCCTGCTCACCTCAGGCTGCACCAGACGCCACTGAATGCCCCCAGTGCCCGTGACCAGCACCTCGTGGGTCGGGGGCTCAGGGGGCGACACGGGATCGGTGCCTGCTGGGGGCTGCCCACTGTCCTGGAGGTAGCAGGGCTCTCTGTCAGCCTGGGACAGGATCTCCAGGTGACACACAGGGAAGCACTCAGCGCCAAAGCGGGGCGCCAGGCGCTCCAGAGTAGCCAGGTACTTGACCATGATGACCTGCTGGGACAGGTGGCCAGGCTGGAAGGTGCGCAGGAAGCGACGGAAGACACTGCGCAGGCGCAACCGGGTCAGCACATTGTGCTGGCGGATCTGCTGCTGGAAGGAGCGGGGGATGCAGTGTGTAAAGCTGTTGGGAGACACGGGACTTGTCAGGGCCCTGAGCGGGGCCAGGCTGGGGGACATCTCAAGCAGTACCCATAGCAAATATGGGCACTGTCACCAAGGCAGAAACAAACATAAAGGACTGACAAGGTGATGCACACCTGTAATCCTAGCCAGTCAAGAGGCTGAGGCAGGAGGATCACAAATTCCAGCCCCTCCTGGGCAACTTAGTGAGACACTGTTCTCAAAATAAAAAGAATAAATAAAATAACTTTAAAAGGGCTGGAGTCTGGCACAGTGGCACATATCTGTACTCTCAGCACTCTGGGAGGCTGAGGCAGGAAGATCATACATTCAAGCCCACCCTGGGTAACTTAGTGATGTAGTAACAACTTGTCACAAAATTTAAAATTAAGAAAGAGCTTGGGAGCTGAGGAGATAGCTCAGTGGTTGAAGTGCCTGCCTGGCAAGTACAAGGATCCAGGTTTGATCTCTGGTATCACATGCTGTGCCAGCCCCAGGCACAGAGCCGGCCACCGAAACTGGTCAGATATGGTGGCATATGCCTATATCCCAGAACTGAGGAGGCTGAGACAGGAGGATCACTACAAGTGATCTGCATAGTGAGACCCTGTACCAAACAAAGAAAAAGAAAGAGCTTGGGATGTAGCTCTGCACAAAGCCATGGGTACAAGCCCTATTTCCACAAAATATAGAAATAATTTCGATTTTTGTCCAGACAGGTCCTGACTGTATACGTCATGCTGGCCTCAAACTCGCGGTGATCCTCCTGCCTCAGCCTCCCAAGTGCTGGGATGACAGCCACGCGCCACGAAGCCTAGCTATTTTTATTTTTCATTTTATTTTTTTAAATTTTTAATTTTTTTTTTAACATTTATGTGTGTGTGTGTGTGTGTGTGTGTGGCCAGCTCTGCCCACCAGGGGGCGGGGCTGGCTGGAATGTGGTACTGGGGGATTGAACCGTGGTCCCTGTGCTTTGCTAAGCTTGTTCTAAGTAGGTGCTTTAGACCACTGAGCCATCTCACCAGCCCCGTTATTTTTATTTTTAAAATATGGCCTGGGCTGCTTAGTGAGTTCAATACCTCACCTGTGTAACAAGACCACCTCAAAAAAAAAAAAAAAAGCCCAAAAAGCTGGCCATGGTGCCACAGCACCATAATCACAGTACAGGAGAGGTAAAGACAGGAAGAACACCATGAGTTCGAGGCCAGCCTGGAGTACACAGCAACACCCTGTCTCAGCTACCCCTTAAAAAAAACAATCACTGCCAGCCAAATAGCTGAGCAGATTAAAGCGCCTGCAAGCAGGCACAGGGGCTGGGAGTTCTATCCCCAGGCCTGCCATGCCAGCCCCGCCCCAGGGCACTCTGAGATGACAATTGAGACTAGGCGTGGTAGCGCACCTCTGTAATCCCAGCTCTTGGGGGGCTGTAAGCAGGCGAATCACTACCAGTTCGATCTAGTAGAGAGACCCTGAACACCCTGTAGACCCTTCCCTAAAATACAAAAAAAAAAAAAAAAAAATCCAAAAACAATGATTTTAGTAAGAGACTTTAGGCGGCAGGGAGGATGTGGGGTCAAGCTTCTCTCAGTCACCCAAAGCCCAGAGGGGATATTCCTCACCTGGGGTGCCCAGCCCTTAGGGACAGTCTGAAGAAGAAAAACCTACCAAGCTGGGAACTCTCTGGCTTTATTTAGAATCTCAGTGTAAGATAAAAAAGCAGAACAGTAGTTCAGGCCTAGAGCTGGGCACACTCTCCTAGAGAGAGGGGAAGGTAAACAGCCGGACACAACACACCTCACAAACTAAACTTCTTTTGCTGTAACCATTCAGCTCTCAACGGTCGGTGTGCTTCTGCCCATAGTTTAATTATTCCTATGCCTTTACCCTGGATTTTAACTATTCATTCCTCATAGAGTTGATGTGTTTTTGTCCCACAGTTTAACCATTTATTTCTGGACAAGTCCCCTACAAAAGGTAATAAAATAAGGAATCAAGATATATCGGGTTGGGCTGGGGAGATGGCTCAGTAGAATAAGCGCTTCCCTGGCAAGCGCAAGGGCCCGAGTTCAATCCCTGGTTCCGCAAAAAAAAAAAAAAAAGACATATCGGTTGGTACAAATTCCCTGTGATGAATGTGATCATTATTGGTATATCTAAATTATACCCACAAACAATTTAAAAAGCTTTTTTTAAAAAATGTATTTATGTATGTATGTGTGTGTGTGTGTGTGTGTGTGTGTGTGGCCAGCTCGGGGGGGGGGGGGGGGAGCTGGCTGGCATGTGGTGCTGGGGGATTGAACCTTGGTCCCTTTGCTTTGCTAAGCTTGTTCTAAGTAGGTGCTTTAGACCACTGAGCCACCTCACCAGCCCCCCCAACAAACAATTTAAAATAATACTACAATAAATAAAAAATAAAACAGGGGCTGGGGAGATAGCTCAGTGGAATAAGCACTTGCCTGGCAAGCACAAGGTCCTGAGTTCAATCCCTGGTACTGCAAAATAAATAAATAAATAAATAAATAAATAAATAAATAAATAAATCAAAATAAAAAACCCAGGCATGGTGGCTCAGGCAGGTCTATCATCCTATTGCCCAGGGGTTGAGGCAGGAAGATCACAAATGACCTCAAGAGCAGCCTGAGCTACCTTCTGAGTTCAAGGCCAGCCTGAACTGCATAACCAGAGCCAATCTCCCATCAAATGATTTTTTTTTTGGCGGAACCAGGGATTGAATTCAGGCCCTTGCACATACCATGGAAGCGCTTATTCTACTGAGCCATCTCCCCAGCCCCCCAGAGCCAATCTCAAAACAAACAAAAAAGGAGCTGGGGAGATAGCTCGGCAGTCTAAGCGCCTTCCTTGAAGGTGCAAGGACCCAAGTTAGATCTGATCCCGGGTACCCCACGCCGTGCTGGCCTGGGAAGCCCAGGCACGCTGAGCTCGCCACCGAAATAGGGCGCGGTGGCGCATGCCCGTGATCCCAGTGCTGGGGAGGCTGAGACAGGAAGATCAGTATGAGTATGAGCTGTGTAGGGAGAGCCAGTACCAAATAAATAAATAAATAAATAAGTGTTTTAAAATATTTAAAAAATAAATAAAAGGGGCTGTGGGTGTAGTTGTGCGGTATAGCACCTTGCCTAGCAGAGATGGGCCAAGATGGGTTCCTGATGCTGCAAATTAATGCATAAAAATTTTAAAATACAGTCATTGATTTCTCACATGCACTCTTGTCATGCTGTTTTTTTCCCTCAATTTTTCCACAGTGCACATGTTGCCGTCTGACAGGATGCAGACTGCGTTTGGTGTGTTTATGTGGCACCGGGAATGAAAACAACATAGCCAGGGACTTCAGGACGAGATGGATCATCAGCCCTTCCTTTAGATTTTATTTTGAGACCGTGTGTCACTATGTCACTAAGTTTCTCGGGCTGCCCTCAACCTTGCGGCCTCCTACCCCAGCCTCGGAGAATGCTGCAGTTACAAGCATATACCACCATGTCCAGCACATTTTGCTTCTGGGTTTCACTTGTTGCCCGCCTCCCTCATGAAATGTGAGTACCGTGACTGTAGGGGATTTTTTTTTTTTTTTTTGGTTCATTGTATCCATACCATTTGGAAAAATACCTTCCCAGTAGGTGCTCAGTAAGTGCTTGTAAAATAAGTGAACGATGAGGAATGGGGCATCCCCACACCTTCCCCAGTGTCCCCACTCCATTCCCAGGCACCTGATCTCTTTGGCCACCTCCTCCAGGGGGACACTGCGGCAGAGAGCAAGGTGGCAGAGGTGCAGAAATGCCATGCCCAGGCTCTCATTCTTAAACTGGTGGATCTCTTCCTCACTGGATAGCTCCCACAGCGATACCACATCATTCACAAACTCATACTTGCCCTGGAGGTGAAACAATCAGGCACAAAGGCAGGTATGAGAACACTTCCACTCACTGTGGTTCTCTATTGCAAGTACTCTGGGGACAGAGAGACCATTGTTTTGTGAAAAGGCCAAAGAAATAGCACACACATCCGTGCTATCTGATCCTGTGCCTGTGGCAGGCATCATTAATCCATGAAATGAATTCAATCAACCAAACCTAAATATCCCAAATGGCATGAACTGAAGGCATTAGCTATGCTGGACTAGAAAAGAAACTGGGGGTTCCTTAAGTGCCCTGAGACCACCTAGAAAGAGTCCCACCTCCCCATCACAGCTCACACCTGCTCAAAGAGGTACTCAAAGGAGGCTGGATCTAAGACTTGTGTCCCCTGATCTGCCTGTTCGGAGGATGCCTCAGTCCCTGGAAGTTTACAGCGGAACACCGGTGGCTCGTGAGGATTCATGCCATGCCAGTTCCGGAAGTAAAATCTGCAGGACAGAAAGGGACATGGCAGAGGATTATTCAGGCTCAGACCAACTGTGACAGAAAAGGGGTCATTGGGGCTGGTGTGCAGCTCAGTGGTTGAGCACTTAGCTAGTAAATAATAAATTAAAAAGGTGCAGCTAAGTGTGGCACCACACAGCTGTAATCCCAGCCCCAGGTTCTTTTTTTTTTTGGTGGTACCAGGGATTGCACTCAGGACCTTGCACTTGCCAGGCAGGCGCTTACACCACTGAGCTATATCTCCAGCCCCAATCCCAGCCCAAGGGAGGCTAACACAGGAGGACTGCTGCGAGTTCCAGCCCAAAAAGAAAGACGCCAGCCTTCAGAGGGGGGCTTCTCTTACCTCATGCGGAAATACAGCGTCTGTCTTGTGTCTCCAGAAACTTCCAGGATGTGGTTTGGAGGCAGCCACACTTGGGCCGCAGCATCAAAGAGAGCAAAGAGATTGAAACAAGCTGGCGTGATGCCTGGAATGAGGAGCAAGGAGGTCAGAAACCACATCATCTACTGCGAACAGCTCTACACACAGTCAGACCACCGGCTGCCTTAACAAGCCTTTCCTGATTTCTTCCCTGGCCCTCAGCTTCTCCCGTGTTACAAATTGCCAGAGAATCGTGAAGTGCAGGCGGGTCCGAAGCACAGAGAACTACATTTCCCAGCATTCCTTGCAGTTACCGTGAGGCCATTGGCCTGGTTCCTGGACAAAAGGATGCAGGTCAACAGTATGTGGGCCAATGGGATGGGTACATTTCTAAGCCTGGGAATCAACCTCTTGCCACCTTCCCTTGCCCCAGGGCTATTTAAGGCGCCTGTGCCAAGTGACAAAACTATAAGATGGAAGTTACCCATTCAAACTTCACTGATTTTAACTAAACTTGAATGTCGGAAGGCAACAAGTGTTAGGGGCTGCTTACTACAGCAGCAAAACATACTGCAACTCACAGAACTGTAGAAATTGCTTTGTTAAATATGTGAAAGTCACCATTACTACTCTTTCCACACTATCTCTTTAGGATCCATCCACTTCTGTAGTTTAGGTCTTTAAAAAATAATGATTATTTTACAGTAATAAGGGTTATGTCATTGGGGCACTGATATGTAGAAATAGCATATCTTAATCTCATATTTGAGATCTTAAATGTCTCAGTGACACATGTGTGGAAGGCTCAGTCTTCAAGATGCTTAAACTACCCAGGCTAGTTTCAAATTTATAATACTCCTGTGTTAGCCTTCCTAGTAGCGAGGTGTACAACACTATGCCTGACTTTTTTGTTTTTTTGGCAGAACCGGGGATTGAACTCAGGTCCTTGCGCTTGCTAGAGAAGCACTTACTCCACTGAGCCATCTACCTGGCCCCCATGCCTGACTTTTGATGAACATTTTAAATGTGCATTACTTATTTTTCAGAAGCTTCCCATAGGATAATCCACTAGCTTTGGCTAAAGTCCTTTTTCCTGGCTTCATAGTATTCTAGTATTTGTCATATTTCTATGTATTTTTCCATTCTCTGGTTAAGGGATTCATGACAAATAATAATTCTCCCATTATTCCTTACAAGAGGTGAGGCACCTAGTTTAGCATGGGGGCACACACCTGCGATCATAGCACTCTGGGAGGCTGAGGTGGGACAATCACAGGTTTGAAACCCACCCTAGCTGGTTAGTGAGACTGTTTCATAAAAAATACACAAGACCCTGGCAAGCGCAAGGGCCTGAGTTCAATCCCCGGTTCTGAAAAAAAAAAAAAAAAAATACACAAGAGCTGGGACTATAGCTTAGCGTGGAGGCCCTGAATCCAATACCCAGTACTGGGAGGAAAAAAGGAAGAAAAGAGGAGAAGAGGAGAAGGAGGAAGAGGAAAAAGAAGAGGAGAAGGTGGAAAAGGAAGGGCGAAGCTTTGGTGGGTGTGAACATTCTCACACTTGCCTCCCGGAAGCCGGGAGCTAAGTATCTGAAGGGAAGACATCCAGGAGCGGCACTCAGCTGCCTTACTCTCTAAAGTGACTGCATCTGCCTGGACTGCCCTCCTGAGAAACAAGGACACTCCCTGGGGAGGCTGCCTCCCGAGGCACCCTTTAGCCTGTTTTGCTCTCTGCCTTAACCTTCCATGGCTGCCTCGTACCACCTCAGAAAGCCAGAGGTTCAGCGAGGAGGAACTAGGACCCGGTAGGATTCTCCTCACTCTGTTCTTGTTTCAATTCCTGCTTCTGTCTCACAATGGGTTCCCCAGTCATCCCGAAGGTCCTGCGCTTCCTCAAACGCTGGAGCGCTCCGGGGCTCTGACCGCTTTCCCCGGGCTGGGTGGGTGTGCCCTGCGTGCTCGTGCTCAGCCCCACCCCAGCGACAGGACAGCCCCCCACGCCAGCCTCCCCCTTCCAGCCGCACCTCCAGCGGCACTCACCGACTTGCTGGGCAACTTGGACACAGGCCTCCTCGGCCGTCAGCGACTGTGAGGCCTCGCCGATGGTGACCCACCGCTGCCCACCACTGGGGCCGGCCCAGTGCAGAAGGACCTGGAGGCCTCCCACAGCGGCCAAGGGCTGTGCTTCGCTCCCCTCCGGCCGGCGGAGCCTCGCGGGGCCTCCCCGCTGGCACAGAGGCATCCTGGGGAAAGACAGCCCGGAATGCCAAGGTCCCGCACCCAGGCAAATCTCAGGGTCCATACCTGTAATCCTAACATCCCGGGAAGCTGTGACAGGAGGATCCCATGTGTGAGCCCAATCGGTCACTTGGCAACTGGTGAGCACACAGTAGGCTGAGGCAAGAGGATCACAGTGGTGGGAGGCCGGCCTGGGCCACACGGTGAGTTCAAGACCACCATAAAGAGACCCCATATTACACAGTGAGACCCCATCTCAAAAAACAAAACAATTAAAAGGTCTAAGGTTGTAGCTTAGTGCCGCGGCTCTGCTTTCAATTCCCAATACCACAAATCAATCAATCAGTAAGAAAAGAAGTTCACCCTGCACCACACCCTCCCTGAATGAGCCGGGCAGGCAGGCAGAGCCCAACAGACCTAGGGGTGTGTCCTGGAACTTCCTGTGTCCAACTCAGGCAGTTCACTTGGCCACTCGGAGCCTCAGTTTCCCCATTTGGAAAATGGAGGTAAAGGGAACATCACCATCAGAAGCTGACTGGGAGGTTTCTAAGCGGTTCTGCATCTTACCACTTCCGTGCAGACCTTGAAACAGGCATGAAAAAAAATCACACATGACCCCAGGGAGAAAGATGTCACCCATGGGGCTGGGGTGCAGCTCAGTGGGCAGCACCCGCCCAGCTCCAGTAAGGCCTAGAGGCTGAGCTCCAGCGCCACAGGGGTAAACAAAGTGCTGGGGCTAGTCTTCACAATGCAGCCGTCCCCAAATGGGGATTGAACTCAGGACCTTGCACTCGCCAGGGAATCGCTTATTCTACTGAGCCATCTCCCCGGCCCTATTTTTGGTACCCAGAATCAAGCTCAGGACTTTGTGCTAGCCAGGCAAGCGCTTAGGTGGCTATTTCCCCAGCTGAAGGCAGGTCCCTCCAGGACCTGACCCATCCCTGCTACTTCTCCAGAGCCTGGGGAGGGAGTTTGTGTTTCAGTTGGTCCATCCCCCAGTCGCGAATCTGGGCTGAACAGCCCTATTCCTCAGGCTGCTTGGCAAAGGGAGCCAGTGAAATGAAGCAGAGGGGCAGCTGTGGTGGTGCACGCCTATCAGGCCAGCACTCTGGAGGCTGAGGCAGGAGGACCGCTGCCAGTTAACAGCTAGCCTGAACTGCATGGGGAAACCCTGTCTCTGGAAACAAAAGATAGAAAGAAAGAAGGGGTGGGCCAGCGGAGATAGCTCCGCGGATTAGGCGCCTGCTTAGGCAAGCGCAGGGACAGGGGTTCGAGTCCTAACACCACATTCCTGGCCGGCCCCTCTCCCAAGCAAGCTGAGCTGGCCACTGAGTGGTGGTGCAGGTCTGTAATCCACGCCTGTAATCCCAGTGCTGGGGAGGCTGAGGCAAGAGGATCACTAGGAATCTATGTAGTGAGACCCTCTATCAAATACATAAAAAAGCAAGCAACAAACAAGCTTAAGCGAAGAGCAGAGAATGTGCTTAGGCCAGGACCAGGCACAACACACACGGCAAGAAACGCTGCCTTTCAGAGTCTGGGATGACATCCTGAAGGCGGGGTTTGAAGGAACCCACTTCCTCCTCTCTCCTCTCCACCGAACCTAGGCTCGGCTGGGAAGACAGTCGCAGGGAGGTCTGCATCTAAGAAGGCTGCACCCCTTCCACGCCCCCAAACCTACAAACACGGTATGCCCAGCAATAATCGCTCTGTGCGCTCGCCAAACACCGTCCCGCCCAGAGGCAGCGTCTGCGTCTCTTCACCCCGTGCCAACTACATCGTCCCCTGCCTTCCTGATGACCTGCCGACTCCATCCTTCCTTTTTCATAACTTCCTGAGTGCGTCCCTTCGCTGTTCCCTTCCAAACTCACCCTTCCAGGAAGACACAGGTTCGAACCCGAGATCCTGCCCCGCCGCCAGTGGGAGCGGCTGCCTCGGACTCCAGAAATGCGCATGTTCGCTGGGGGCAGTCCGGTCCCACGCAGACGCAACCATTGGGCGTGTGCCGGAAGGTGCCTCTCCGATTGGTCCTACTTCTCCCTCGTGGCTTAGCCGCGATTGGTTAGGTCGGAGCCCGGATACGCCACAGTGTGTGTGATTGGTCACTGCAGGGGTGGGCGGAGAGGCGGAAGAGGGTGCCTTGCCAAAAGAAGACGGAGGAGTGAAGTTAAGTGGACAGAGCGGTGTCCCGGGTGCAGTGCAGTGGATTCTGGTCAGGAGGGCATGATCAGCCTCTGGAGCGCTAGTTCCTGCACTCGGCTCGGCGCTCGAGGCAGGAGCCGCCTTCCAACCCTCCAGTCCCCTGCCATGTTACTTCTATCTTTTCGCATCTGTCTGCCTGGCCGCCCGCCTCTCCAGTCGAGCTCCCTCTTTCCAGGAGGCGTTTGCGGTCCATCCGCCCCAGCCCCTTCCTGACCATCTGCAGCCTAGTCCTCCGATGCCCCCTGGCCGGCAGGACAGCACTTGGGCAATTCCGCCCATCTGAGTTGGGCGCCTTCTAGAATTGCAGGCCTTTGCCATGTGCCAAGAGGGCTTTGGAAGTGCTTTGCCCGTTGGTTCTGGAATCAGCCATCTGTGCCGCGCTGCTGTTCTCTCCATTTCTCAGGGGAAGACACTGAGCCTCAAAAAAGCAACGTTGGTCCCTAGAGCCCTCGTCCCAAATACATCTCAAGCACCGACAATTTGAAAGCTTTTTAATGTTTTTAAATGAAACCAAGCTTTCAGAACAAAAAATAAATTCATAAATAAATAAACCTCTCTGCCACTTTCAGCTTTTCATTTTGAGTCAGCAGATCTTACCTCCCTGTCCCGTTGGCTCCACGTTCTGCTTCACTCTAACCATGACCTCACCATCTCACTAGAAGTTTCTCTGAGGGTCAGTCCCAATGCCTGACTTCCGGTCCATGATATCTGCGCCACAGGGACCTGAGGGAGGGGCTCCCTAGCGTGCCCCCCACCCCCAAGCCAGTCTAGGGACAGAGAAAGGGCTGGGCTGCGACAGTCTAGGAGCCAGAGGCTGCAATCCTAAGAGGCTGCTGTCAAAGGTCTGGTCGTGGGCTTCCTGCCTCAGCTTCCTCTTCTGTTGTCGCCTCTGCCAGCAGCAGTCCAGGGGCAGGAAGCTGAGGCTGCCAGATTCCTCACAGTGGGGCCTCTGTGGCTTTTCAATTCTTGGCTATGAGTACTCAGGGGACCTAGGAACTGGCATTCACACCCCCAAAAAGGAAGTGGCAGGAAATGTCTGATGGGGTGATTACTAATAACAATGATAATAATCCCAGGAACAATAATAAACAATAGTTGTCACTTTCCCAGCCAGGAGGCAGGGCCAAGGGCTGTTTAGCCTTTTCTCAGCTACCTCAAGTTCTTTTTCTTTTTCCTGTTTTGTTTTGCTTTGTTTGTTCATTTGAGACAAGGTCTTGCTCTCTGGCTCTCGCTGGCTGGAACTTGAAGTCATCCTCCTGCCTCAGCCTCCCAAGTGCTGAGATGACAGGGGTGCGCCACCACAGCAGGCGATCCAGTTCTTTCAAAGTGGGACCTGATGATGAAGCAGAGCCTGGAGGTCACTGGCAAGGCTCGTGCTGTTCCTAAGGCTTTGGTCCTTCTAGAACATCTCAGAGCTGCCAGAACCACCACGGAGGCCCCAGACCTGTGAGTGACCAGGGTTTGCCCAGACCCCAGGGGCTTCCCCAGCGAGGGACTTTCCTTGTGCAGATAGATGGGTACAGTCTTGGCCAAGCGAGGCCAGTGGCCACTTTCCAGGAAGCCCAGCCAGTTGGGGATTCCCCTGAGCTCCCACACCACGCCCAGCTCCACCGTGGGGCTTCCCCAAGTCCCACGCGCCTGGGAAAAACCAGAATGGGCCAATTAAAGACTAAAGCCCCACTCCTTTGCCTTCCTTGAATGGCAGTTCGGAAAACAGACAGCCCCCCGCCCCCGAAGGGAGGTGAGAGATGGGGCAGCAGGTGGGACTCTAGGGAGGTGGTGTACCTGGGCCCCAAACCCTGCGCCCTGATGGCACATCAGTAACCAGTGATAGCCATCAAGGTGGGCACTAAGGCCCAAATTCAAATCCCAGCTCTGCCCCAGAGAACCCAGGCAGTCCCTGAACCATGCCCCGTGTGTTCTCCACCGTGAAGCACGGCTGTCCACAGTCCCGCAGCAGAGGGGGCCTGGGCTTCAGAATTAAGACACATACCAAGTACAGAGTGAAAAGTAAATTTGCTCCATTTAAAAAAGGAGAAGGGGGCCAGGGAGATAGCTCGGTAGAATAAGCTCTTGCCTGGCAAGTGCAGGGTCCTGAGTTCAATCCCCAGCTCCATGAAAAAAAAAAAAAAAAAGAAAGAGAAAAAGAAAACCTTGGGCTTAATTCCCAGTACTACAAAATGCAACAAATGAACAGCTTAGGATGGACCCAGGCGTAGAAGCAGCACAATTTTGTTAACATTTCTTGGCTATAGTTTCCACTACATGTAGATCTCTTTTTGTTTAGTGGCAGTTGCTAGGCCGCTAAGCTACATTCCCTGGCCCTCTCTGAGACAGTCTTGCTATGTAGTTCTGGCTGGCCTTGAACTATGTAGCCCAGATTGGCCTTGAATTCAAGAGATCTTCCTGCCTCAGCCTATGTGCTTGGGTGTTCACCACCATGCCCAGCTAAGAAATTTTTCTTTTGGTGGCACCAGGTTAAGATAGTAGTGAACTCAAAGGCAGCCTGAGCTACACAGGGAGACCCTGACTCCCAAAATAAAAAGGCTGGGGCGATAGTTCAGCAGCATACATACCTGCCTGCCAAGTATAAGGTCCCGAGTTTGATCCCCAGTACCAAAAAAAAAAAATTTATTTTTCAGACAGGGGACTGCATCCATGCATGCTCTATCACCAAGCTAGACTCCCAATCCTTCTAGTTTTGAAACGGATTCAGTCATTTGCCCAAGAAGCCCTGAAATGTAGAATCCTCCTGCCTCAGTCTCCTGAGAAGACCACCTTTGTGGATTGAAGGGGCTAAGGAGGAAGGCACGTGGATGACCAGGTAAAGATGGGCCGAAATAAAACAAAGCAGCCCCTCCACTTGCAGTTGTCCCTTCGCTAGGTAAAACCTTAGGCTTCACCGGATTTGCAGCTCGCGGTTGCCCCCTGGTGGCGGCACGAGCGCACAGCACGGTAGCGACTGGCCTCCACCGTTGCTATGGAAAACGGACACGGCAGAACAAAGGCGATGTTCGAGCCCTGGTGGCACCCGCAGGATAGGGAAGGTGACAATGGACCGGGTCAGGTGAGGCAGGCTGGGTAGTGTTGGGGAGTCCCTAGACAGGAACAGGTAGCCCCCACTGCGTTGCCGGTTGCCGGCTGCCTGACATCCTGGGCTGGTGTTAGTTGCAGCGCTGGAGAGGATTGAACTCAGGCCTTTGCGCTTGCCAAGGAAGCGCTTATTCTGAGCCATCTCCCCGCCCCTAGTGCTGGAGATGGAACCCAGAATATTTCTTACCCTGGGCAGGTACTCTACTGCACAGCCACATTCCCAGCCCCTTCTTCTTTGATCACGTGATATGCCCCAGGATGGTCCCAGGCTTAGGGTGAGCCTCCTCCTGCCGCAACCTCTATGTGCTGGTTTTACAAGTACGTCCCACCACCTCGAGACCCTTTCTGAGAATAGTTATCTGGCTAAACTACACAAACAAACCTTAAAATTTGGATCGTCCTGCCTCAGTCTCCAAAGTGGAAACGATTACGGGGCAGTCATGGTACCCAGTTCACCCTCAGAACAGTGCCAAGTACTGAACCCAGCACCTGCACACGGAGCTACACCCCTGGCCCCCTTTCAATTTCCTGAGATTGTTTCTCACTAAACTACCCAGGCTGGATGCAAACCTGTAACCCTCCTGCCTCAGCCTCCCGGAATGCTGGGATGGTTGGCACGTACCAGACCAGGGAGGGTCCAGAGGGTTTCTGATGGAATGGTACCTCCAGAACAGGTGGAAGGCAAAGCCTGGGTTGTCCCTGTCCCCAACACTCTCCCCATTACCCCTGTGGCTGCTGAGAATGGCCGGGCCCCCCAGAGAGCATCAGAAACCTTTTATTAAGAGGATCGTGGCTATTTCCCAAACAAAAGCCTTGACAGCAGAGGATACTGACAACTGGCGATCCAGTGACCCTAGGTGACTGGTCCCCAGCAGAGGACCCTCTCCATCCCAGGGGACAGGCCTAGAATCTCTGCCCCTCTCTGGACCCCCGGGGCCTTTGGCATAACGCTGATGGGGGCTGCAGGCAGTGAACCCCTCGACTCGACGTGAAGCAGAGACGGAGGAGTGCGGGAGCGGGGACCAAGGAGGCACGGGCTGGGAGGGCGCCCGGCCGGGGCCGCAGCGAGTGGAGGAAGGCAGGCTGGGGAGAAGGTGTCTATTTCATGTTTCTGGACAGGGACGTGCAGACGTCTGCAGGCCAGTGAGTAGAGGCCAGCGGGTCAGGCGCTGCCATCCTTCTCGGCAACTGGCTTGGGGACAGCTTCCAGCAATGGGTCCCCAGGACCAGCCTCCTCCCCCTCCTTAGGTTCACTGGCCTTGGAATTGGGGACCCAGAGCCCCGAGTCGATGCACCGCTGCATGTGGTACTTCGCGTCCTGTGGGGACAAGGGTGGGTGGTGAGGTGGGGATGCCACTGCCAGGTAGCCCGGCTGTCCCGTAACCCTCAACCCTTCTCGGTCTACCCATCAGAGGTGACCAGAAGTGTCCACAGTGGAGGACATGTCCGGCTGGTCACCCTGTAGGGACCAGCTCATGGGTACTGGCCTCTTCTGGTGTGGCCAGGTCATTTACAGAATGGTGCTAGAAAGGAACCCAGAACCTTGGGCATGCCAAGCACAACTCAAACCGCAACTCCAAGGTCAAAACTATCTTGCTGTATAGTTCAGGCTGCTGTTTGGCCCACGCTGGGCTCAAACTTGCAACAATCC